ATATTTGAACTATTACAAAAACTTAAACGTAAATTCTAAGTCGAAAAAGGGGCATAATTCTGTCAAAATGCTTGATAGAGTTACCTCCTCCTGTCTACAGGTTGGGGTCATGATGGTGAACAAGTGTGCAAAGTTTCAAAGCCATATGTCAATGGACTTTGAAAATATTTGAACTATTACAAAAACTTTAACGTAAATTCTAAGTCGAAAAAGGGGCATAATTCTGTCAAAATGCTTGATAGAGTTACCTCCTCCTGTCTACAGGTTGGGGTCATGATGGTAAACAAGTGTGCAAAGTTTCAAAGCCATATGTCAATGGACTTTGAAAATATTTGAACTATTACAAAAACTTTAACGTAAATTCTAAGTCGAAAAAGGGGCATAATTCTGTCAAAATGCTTGATAGAGTTACCTCCTCCTGTCTACAGGTTGGGGTCATGATGGTGAACAAGTGTGCAAAGTTTCAAAGCCATATGTCAATGGACTTTGAAAATATTTGAACTATTACAAAAACTTTAACGTAAATTCTAAGTCGAAAAAGGGGCATAATTCTGTCAAAATGCTTGATAGAGTTACCTCCTCCTGTCTACAGGTTGGGGTCATGATGGTGAACAAGTGTGCAAAGTTTCAAAGCCATATGTCAATGGACTTTGAAAATATTTGAACTATTACAAAAACTTTAACATAAGTGGTTACGCCGACGCTCGGGTGACTACAATAGCTCTACTTATTCTTATCGAATAGTCGAGCTAAAAATCGCAATATCGGCCGGCGTCCGTCCGGCGGCAGTGACTATCGGACGGCAGCAGCTGAAAATTTTGCTCATCGGGCGGGCGCCTTCGAGTTTTAAGTAATACTTAAAAGCTAACGGCGGCCGGACGATAATTTTTGGGGTCACTGAGTATAAATATCATCGAGCGGACATCGTTCGGTCGCCGGGCGGCGACCGGGCGATGATTTTTTTGTTCTACTAAAACAGCGTCCGATTTAAAAGGCGTCCGGGCGGACATCGGCCGGGCCCCGCCCGGTGCCTGAATAGAGCTAAGTAGTCAAACGATTATCGCCCGGTACCCGGACGATTCATGTACAGGCACCGGGCGGTCATCGTTCTGTCATCCGGCGACCGGGCTGCTTGTGTTTGTTGTAATTTCAGCTTGAAGAAGTTTTTATTGCCTCAAAAATATATTTGTGAATTTCTTTTGAATACTGGTAAACATGATTTTTTCCTTCAATGTCCATGCGAATGTCTGATTGATTTTCGCCTTCTACGGCCTCGATACTGGCCGTTGGTGACTCGTTGTCAACAACACGGACCAACTCCTTGGCCTTCCCCTTGGGTTTGGCAGCTGACTTCTTTGCTGGCATAATTACAACTGGCTGATTTATCTAGGATGTCATTAAATGTAAAGTCATTGTCGCCCGGCGCCCGCGCGGCAACCGTCCGATTCACTTTTAAATCGCACAGGCGCCGTACGGACATCGGGCGGCGACCGCCTGATCCGTTCAATTCTGTCTGTAAAATCCACTCGGCAAAAATCGCCCGACGACTGTTTCATTCGTGACCACACAAGGTATAGTCTGATTTTATTGACCTGTCAATTATGAATACATTATAGGACTCATTTAAATATTCGATCCCACTTCGGTTTGGTCCGTGCAGTTTACGAGAATTAATGTGGAGTATATTAGTAATGGATTGAAAGTCACGCCAGCTTAATCTGAAGGTTTTCGTTAATTCACAATAGGACAGTCGGTAAAGAGAATGCCTGATAATTGAGAGGTCTGTGGTTCGATCCTTACTGTTGCTATTGTTTTAGTACCCTTTCTTTATTTTTGCAGTATATTTTAATGGAACAGATTTGTAGTGTGTTGTACGGCATTGAAAAGACATTTATTGATTTTAATCCGTTTTAATTTTAAACATTAATTCTTAAAAAACATGTTATTTAAAAAGAGTACATACATAACAAAATTAAGTAAAACATAATCAAACAAAACGAACAACATAAAATAATCATATATAGATTCAATAATGTTGAAAGTAGTTCTGGCTTCCAAAACTTTATAAGCCGCTTTTTAACATTTTTGTTTTTCATCTGATGCGGCATTAAAGTTTTGGATTAGACCCGTTACGAAACCTAACCAGAATAACATAAGTTGATTTATTCTTGTTTTTCACTTGCAAATACACTTGACCCAATCAATTCTTGTGCATTTTACGATAAAACAATCATTTTAATATCATTCTATACCAATTAAAGTATCAAAATATTAATACCGTCAATAAAATTGCCTATTTAACTGTAAAATATCAATTTACGCCGACTACAGTTGGCCATGACATTCAAGTGCCACGCGAGATCTCGTATGACGTCATTCGCGGGAACAGATTTAAATAGAGTCGTGTACTATATTTAGAACATTTTGTTGACATGATTTCGATAGTTTTATTCAAGATAATGTTTTTATTTATGTTCATTAATTTTTTAGTACTTAAATACGATTGTATTGAATATAAAAGTCAGTAAATCACCTTTTTCAATATCTTTAAAAAAAGTAATTTATAAAAATATTGGAGGCACATGGGTTCGTAAAGGTCAATCTCGTAATCACGTGATCAAACATTTTGGCAATATGGCGGCCAAGTGCCGAAAATTTTACCTGTCGGAAACTATTAGGTAGTTTATGTTCGTAATAAGATTTTTATTTGTCCATCCTTGGCTTATCAACAGATTATATATAGTTTTATCAAGGTATGCTTCACTTACTTCATGGCATGTTCGATGAATAAATACGAGCGTGTCAGATTCCTGGCACGATTATTGGTGGACTTTCCCTATGGGGTTATCTTCAGCGTTCACGTCATGTCATAGTATATAAACGGGTACGCTGAAGACCTTAAGCTATGTTGAAAGTATTAATAAGAAAAAAACATGGACCAACGTGGCCTCGAACTTAAAACACGTGTGGCACTTAGATTATAAACTCGTGATTTATCCTATTGCGCTATAACGATGAGTACACTTAGTTTAGAGATACAAATTAAATTAAATTCCATCGTACAGCGTACATATCACGAAACTTACCGAACATCTACCGAAGATTAATATACTGGGTGCATCGACCGTGTAATCAGTATGTAATTGACAGGTTAATAAAACCAAACAATATCAGATTTAAAATCGCCCGGTGTCCACGACATCAAAAAATCTGCCGATTAAATAAAAATCGTTTAATCGGACGGCGCCCGTTTTATTTGTGACCTAGGCATAATACATGTGAATTACAAAACAAGTTCTATAGCTATTACCTTCAATCAATAATTTGCGTTCATAACATATCATGTCATGTTTCATTAAGTTTTTAATAAATACATGTACAATATTTTCGTTTTTCAAGAAAATCAAAATCACTGTGATTTATATTGGATTATTGTCTTCATGTATTTCACGGCCGTGCAAAACCGGTTTAACAAAGTCGTTCAAGAAACATTGGCAAAAAGGACAACCGTGTATTAATTTATAAACTATTGAAATATGTGTTAAGTAAATAATTTATCTATCAATTTAATCTAGTACATAACTTCAGTATCAGATATTGGCGATGTACATATATTTCATATACATTTCTGCCGAAGAATAAAATATTGAATAAATAAACTTTACTGATACAAGTTAACGGTAAGTTATCCGTTAGTCACTAGTGAAATTTTATTATATCACTTAATTTTCGATGTTTACATCATGACAAGTCGCTAACAAATTTATCAAAATACATATTTTAGGCAGGGTGCATATTGGTATCTCTAAAACTACTGAAGGGAATGGGTTTAAACTTTACACACTTGTTCTCTTCTGTGATTATCTAACATGATAGACACAGCTCCTATAACTATGAATTATCTTTAACAGACTGATGCCCCTTTTGTTGAGCACTGAGAATAATCAGGAAATCGTACAGACAACTGTTATTTTGTAATAAATCCAAGACAAGTAATATTTTAAGTGTATATTTGTACAATGATATCAAATATTACATTTTATCAACTTAAGCCATTATAATGTTATCACATGACATTATCGTAACAAATGTAAAGCGTTTTAACAAAGAAAGAAATAGTTACCACATATTATATCATCACCGGCTAGACAGAGTTTTCATTATACCGTTAAAACCAAATTGTATCATGGTATTAAAACGTGTCAGAGTTAAAATCGTATATCAAATACATGCACAGTGTATACTATTATTAACACGCACTCACTGTATGTCTATAGCATACACGTTGATTTGATTCTTTTTGTTCTGGGGTTTACTTATTAAGAGAAATAGAAAAGTCGTATTCAGATGCTCGTTCACTGACTTATGTGTTTATAGATACAAGAATTTTGAACATGCTTCACAAGAAATAATTAAGGCACGTACGTAGTCGTACGATGGGCTGAGGTACTATTTTCACGGAAGTCCGGATTGAATCCTGAATAATTTTAAGCAAGTATCTTATTCCAAGTAGATCTAGAACTCTTTCAGATATACCATAATTATACTGTTTTTCTTTCTTGACTTCAAAAAAATATTCAAATGAACGATATCATTTATCTTACAAGTCGATAATCACGTTAATAAAATCAAATTTATATCTCCAGTGATAATGCATAAAGATTTAAATCTGATTTCATATAAAGTTCATGAGGACGAAAGTTTAAAGTTTTTAGTTACTTTTTAATACCAATGAAGATCTATCACAAAATTGTTTATAAATACATGTAACTGAAAATACAATGTACATGTGTCTACAGTAGGGTGAAATAAAAAAAGCTGATTCAAGCAAAATTTTGAAATTAATTCACACCAATCAAGTTATTTATATATATATATATATATAACTGAAAAAACAATGTACATGTGTGTCTACAGCAGGGTGAAATAAAAAAGCCATTCAAGCAAAATTTTGAAATCAATTCACCTTTTAAATAAGAGATAAAAACACATCGACTTACCCGCACGAAGTAATCCTCGATACTGACTTGGTCACGTGATAATTATCGGTTTTCGGAAAACATAGATATCGAAACTAGAATATCATTTTTCGAAAAATCTTTAAGATATAAATTCACACCCTTTAACCGGTTACGAGAAAAACAACTGGTTGCGGGTACTTGTGGTTGGGAAATTATGTCTATTAAATAAAATGTGAGAGACGAACATAAAATGTTTAATATCGCGTGTATCCGGTTCATGTAATGTGATATGATGCGGTGATTTAGCGGGATAGAATTAAATAATATGTTGGTGATCATCAAATGATTAAATGATGAATTGCACGATTTCATTGGACAAAACCTCTGATTAAAGGTCTATTGTGATGTGAGGAATTGTGATACAGTCGCCATTACGTTTTGTTTTTAACGGGTAGGGATGGGAGCGTGACAGATGTTGCACTTTGACACGATCTCCAATGAACAGACACAAACTATGGCTTCAATTTTTACTTTAATTTTGTTGTTTTCATTTGGTGTCTTTTCCATTTTTTCCTGCTCTATTTGTTTGATAGCAAGTGTATAACTTAAAAACATACATCAATAACAGTACATTAAATGTTCATACTTACGTTTACTATGATTAGTTTTTAAATGTTCAAACTGCACGAGCGTATTCTAGAGTATAGAAAGTATAGATTATATAATCGAATTGACCAGAGATGAGTTATAACAATAGGAGACACGTCAAGTGTCTGAAGGTTTAAATATTTTTCGACCATGTGTCGCACTCTATCATTTAAACTTTCTATAATATGTCCCTTCTTTTAATTGTCGTATTCTATAAAGTGTCTTTCGACGACTGTTGTAAACCCTAGTACCATATACATGTAGTAGTTCCAGTGTTGTTATATTTCTCTGATTTCAGTGTGTTGAAGATTGAACACCGCTTAAGCAGATAGGGGGAGGGGCATACGCTTAAGAAGATAGGGGGAGGGGCATACGCTTAAGAAGATAGGGGGAGGGGCATACGCTTAAGAAGATAGGGGGGGGTGAGAGATGTTGCACTTTTACATGATCTCTCATGAATTTACTAGACTCAACCAAACCTGCAATTTTAATATTTATTTATTTTTTGTTTGTTTTGTTTTTATTGCATCCTATGGTTGTCCATTTTTTTCAGGGTTTTTTAAAAAAAATGTTATTTGTGTTTGTGAATTTTCATTTTTATATTAAAGAACACAAAAAACTGGTGGGTAAATATTTGAATACCTGTTAAGCAGTCGCTAAGCAATTTGCTACATGTAATCCGCTTTTAACAACAGAGCCGATAAGTATTATATATTATAAGTGTTTGTTGTCCAATAAGATTAAAGCATTTCAGACGAATCGTAACACATTTACTTAAATCGGCAAATCGGCTTTTGTAATACTAGACTGATTAAAGCCCCATTTTCTAACATACAGATTGATTTATGTGTCATCGACATTTAGAGTGAAATAAAGTTTATAAGATATATATTTAATTGTAACTGAACATTGACTTACAAATAATAGCGTAACAATCAGTTGTTTATAGATAGCACAAAACGGTTTTCAATATCGTCTGCTAGATATGAATTTCTTTATTTGACATTTAGCAAAATGCATGGAAGGTGTTATCATTATAGTTCTCTTTAATAGTAAAGTATGGCGGCTGATTTGTGCCATTCGTTTTTTCCGGGAACCCGCCAAGCGAAATGTCGAGAATAAACAACTTAAGATAGCGGGACGGGAAGCGAAAATACGCTAATTAGCGGTTGCGCGAGGCGAAAAGTCGGGTTAAACTTGAAATACGGCGGTGCCGCAAAGCGGAATATTTATTGTTATAGCTCTTGTTCACGCCCCGCCAAATTTTCTTAATAAGCTCGACTTTTTGCTCGACGCCCACGCTAATAAGCCTATTTTCGTTCCTCGCCCGCCGTTTTAGAAGTTAAAATCTCGACTTTTCGCCACGCCCTCCGCTAATTATCGTGTTTTTGCTCCGCGTCTCGCCTTTTTATACATTCATCAAACCTCGTTTTGCGCGCTCGGCTAATATGCATCCCCGCCGTTTACTTTCTTAAATCTCGCTCTGCGCCCCGCGGGGCGATTGTTATTTATTAAACTTTTAAGATTTAAGGAATAAAATGGCGAGGGTGCGGATCGAAAACACGCTAATAAGCGGGGTCGAGGGACGTGATTTAAAAAACATAAACGTCGCCTCGCGGGAGCGCGGATCAAAACTACTGGTCCGTTTAAAATGAAACTTTAAATGCTGTGAAAACAGATTATTTCCAATTGAATCGTACAATGTACACAACTTTGACGTCATCACTTATGACGTCATAAACCGCAAATGACGTCACGTTACGGGCGTCCGTTCGAAAATGGCGTCACACAGCGTCAACGAACAGCGCATCGTTATAAGGTTTTACACAAAACTCGGAAAGTCTTTTCCCGATATTCGTGAAGATTTTCAAAAAGTTTACGGGGAGGCTGCTCTGTCAAAAGGTGCCATTTCCGGTTCCGGTTAGAATAATGGAGGGTTAGAAAAAAGTGCGCGGACAAATTTTTGCTTGATAAGTGTCTATTTATGGATAAATATCATATATCCTGGCTTCTTATATTTTCGACGGTGTAAGGACATTTCGTGTCGGCAAAAATGTAAAAAGGAAATAAGTGCATATTTCATATTTCCATCAACTAAAATTACCCTTTTCCTTTATAATTTGAAAATTTTAATACAAAAACATAACAATTTACCTTTTTACACTAGTTTCATGGAGGCTGCCATTTTGGTTTCTGAGAAAAATGACGTCTTATATTTTCGACGATTTTCATTGGTCGAGGAAATTAAGGTACAGGGTGGTCAAAAAAGTTTTTCACACTGTATATCAGTAAAATACAATCAGTCCAAGAAGAAAGCAAATTATTCCAAACAATGTAGAACAATTTTTGAAAATAATGGTAGTGTCCAACAACATAATAAAACGGTAATTTTTTTCTTTTCATTTTTTTTATATAAAATAACTTAACAGATAAGTCTATTGTTCATTAGAGCAAGAAGGGCACAGAAAAGTGACATTCCTTCTTAACACTCTAACTGGACTGCAAAACCTCAGGTGAGAGTTAACATCAGAGTTAAATGGGTAAAAACCACAGCGTTTGAAGGCAGACTGTATATTGACAGGTGTGAGGTTTGCTATGTATACGTTGCTTGCTATTTTACCAACTTCATAGTGCGTAACTATACGACCACCAGATTCTCTCAGGTATTGATGACACGCTGAATTCCATCCTACCTCAAAAGGTGCAAAACATGAAACATCCATAGGTTGTAATAGATGTGAACAATGTGGTGGAAGTACGAAAAGAATGATGTGTAATAAGACCTAGAGTAGACTTTATGACCATCATACAACAACAGAACTTGGGTTTCTTTAGTGCGACTTGGCAGAAATGGCTCTAAGTGCTGAATCATGAAATTAGTAAATATTTCTGTATTTGACCACCCTGACTCTGAGACATCACCTTGAGACCCTGCTGTAGCGCCTTCCAATAAAGCTGGCAACATTCTTGCTCCAGGAAAAACAAAATATGCGGAATCTGGTGTCTTAAACCTATTTCTACCATAGTTTTCAAATGTTCAATTAAGAAAGCTTCCTGCTCTTGACTAAATATAGTTTGGGGACCTGGTTTTTACAGTGTCAATATCAACTCTCCCCTTAACTCTATCTTTAAGGGTTGTGACAGGAACACTAAACCTTTTTGCAACTCTCTCTACAGGCAATCCTTCTTCTATTACTGTCCTGTAAGCTTCATTCAGGTCACTTGCTGTGTAGGACCTATACTTGCCCCGGACGTGAGTCTTAATCTGAAAAAAAAAATGAAGAAGAAATTAATTTAGTAGTCTGAACCCTAGGCATACATTGTGTAATCAACACCCTGTACATAAAATTTGACATATCACATGACCTTTGGGAGAATTGATGATCATAGCAGACGTATGGAAACACATTTAATTTTTTAGGCAATAATATTTATATTATTGTGTTTCTTAGCAACAAATTTTTAGGAAATAAGAAACTACACGTGTTTGACCATTATAAACATTGTGATAAAAGGTTTACCTGTCTAATTTCCATGTTATGTTACTTTGACATTTTAGCGGCATCCAGCATCATTTTGTTTACATTCGGAAGGGGTGGAGTTAAAAAATTCTCGCGAGATCATAACATATTCGGATAGAAATGGCTACCGTCGAAAATATAAGAACGTCGAAAATATAATACGCCACGATACTTTCTTGACGGATGAAGACAAAATTGTTTACAAAAGTGTTTACTTGGAGTACGAAGCAAAATATTGATATGCTTATAATGGTGAGCAAGAAAACTTCTGGTGTCGCGCTCCATTGAATAGCTATATAAACATTTATACCAATAACTTTATACCATATATGAACACACCGTTATATATCGAGTCACGCTGACAAATATTTGAACAATACATCACACCCAAAGCTTATCCCGTTTGTTGATATGAGTGTAAACAAATCGGTCACAAGCACCCCTGTGTCTTCTGAAGGTAATAAGAGGGAACTCTCGTCGCCCTTTGATCATAACGAAACAAAGAAAGTCAGATCAAATGGATGAAGCAGTAACATATACGCCTCTGTGATGAAGATCTCATGAACTCTCAACAATGGTGAGTGATGTTATTTATGGTGTTATGTCGAATATCAACTCTAAAGTCGAGATACTTGAAGCTGAAAATAAAACCTAAAAAACCCAAAGCAGAGTGTCCGAGCTCGAAACCCGGCTCTTGGTAACCGAGGCTAAACAAGACAGATCGGACCAGTACTCTCGGCGTAACTTGTTACGCAATAGTGGCGTACCAGAAAAAAGTTGCGAATCCACAGACCAAATCGTGCTTGATGTCGCTGGGGCAGTGGGGGCTAAGATTACCCTTGATGACGTGGATCGGTCGCACAGGGCAAAGCCATTCAAAGCTACGTCTTCAAATA